AATAGCGAACCCATCGACAGGGCATGTTTGTAAAACGGAGGATATTTACCCTTCCCCAAATACATTTTATTTGAACTCATTCAAAACAACTTTCTCCTTTAACGGTGTATCACAATACATTTCACAATGTTCCATGTTTAATCTTCCTGGTAATAAATTCACGTCTACCGCGAATGGCGTTGCAAACGCACAAAAAGCACTTTTTTAAACAAAAATCCTGCAATCGGTTTTCAGATTCTAGGTTTAAGTTATCAAAGAAGCGTATCGATCTGCCAGCTCCTGTGTGACGTCTGGTTGCCATGACAACGTAGGAAAAGGAGTAAAGCTTTTTATCCTCAACCGTTGTTCCCAAAGGCCAAGTTTTATTCGAAATGCAGAAATATGATCAAACATCTTATAAATTAATTGATATTTCCAGTGTAGACCAGTATTAACGTCATTTAGGTGGCTAGTTATATGGACCAGAAATGCAAAGTCACAAACCCATTTTTTGTCTTCAAACTCTGGGATACTTATTGAGTTGCTTGCAAAGAATGATTGCATCCTTGCTGCAAATCAAACACTCTTTACAACATTTTGGCACGGGTCGGTCATCTTACTACTGCATAAAATGTAGCGTCATCATAATCCGAGTCCAAAGACTTTAGAAATTCTTGGAACTGATGGTAATTCAACTCGTTCGACTTAATGAAGATCACTTATTTGACGACCACTTTCATGGCATGGTACATTTTGAGGGACTTGGAACATTAATTCTCCTGAATAATGCAATAAAAATTTAGCATTGAATTATTACCAACTTGGGACTCCACATTTTCAATCAACTTGACTAAACCTTCGTGTTTGCCAAACATTGCTGGAAGACCATCCGTTGTTAAGCCCGATAAGTTGTTAAGCAATAACGAAAAGCGATTCAATATCAGTGTAACTGCCTCTAACAAATCGCATGATTTAGTGGTGTCCGTAAGTGGACCGCAACATGACCTCTGGCGGGCCGCATGCGGCAGGTGGGTCTCGTTTTGGCCACCCGTCCTCTTACTGTTGAGATGGTAGAAGTAAAGTTCTACAGTAAAACGGACACTTTCACTGTTGAAATGTTAGAAGTGAAGTGCTGCAGTAACAAATATACTCTCACTCAGTGGCGTAGCTAGGTGGTTTGGATGGTGCGGACCGCACCAGGTGACACCATCTCAGGGGTGAAACCAAATTGAATAATGGCATAATTACAGAACACACACTGTACGGTCCAACCGAATTTCATGAAAGGAAAACCGATCGCACGTAAATTTTCCACACATGTAGCCAGTCCAAATGAGTGCTTTAATTATTTGTTCAATTTTGATGTGTCAGAGATGAGGTAACCCTATAATTAGGTCCGAAAAACACTGTTTTGACAATGACTCAACGCCATTTGAAGTGTTCGTTAACTTTCGTTAGTGACAGGAAACTATATTTATCTAAATTTTTAGAAATAAAAATTTCCATTAGTTTCCATTGACACCAAATACGATATGGTTGGGTGATTTTAAGTACATGAATCGATTAAGTAAAAATTAAAAACATAACAAGTGACTTTTTACCCATTCAATGGGTTAGAAATTAATATATTTTACAAAATTTTAAAGGAAAATTTTTCATAACGTAAACTGAACGTAAAAGTATCTAAATGTTAACGTTGTTACAGTTCTTAAATATAGTTACCTCCTGACATTCTGTTAATTTGTTTTGTTATTCTGTGGACTTATTTTAGCAAGAAAAAATCCGTCGTGGAAGTCCGTGGAGGGGGGGGGGTGACACCATGAGTTTATCGCACCGGGTGACACCAATCCTAGCTACGCCCCTGCTCTCACTATAAGAGTATTCAAGAAGTACGTGGCTTTTATCGTGACGAATGCCTGTGATGCGCTGAAACATCCCTTCACCTTACCAGTGCAAAATGGTTGTCATCAAAATCGTAATAGCAAGATATATTTATTCGTATATGCTCAAATTGTACCCCCCTCTCCCCATGTCTAAATTCACTTTGACAACAAGTACCTCAATGCTTGTAATAATATACCCATTTTTTTCTAAAAGATATTAATAATTAAAGTAACATTTTACGTTTGAAAATTAATAGTACTTAAAATTCACTTTAATGAAAAAAAATATCTAAAGTTTTAAATTTAAAAAAAAAATATTTTAAAACATTTCAATCATAGTGCTATCTGTAGACAAGAAAATGACCACTTCAACTTCAACACAGTCATCTTTACAATGTAATCCAGTGTTACGTAATTATTAACCACGATGTTTAAAAAAGAAAATTAACCAGTCTTTTAATTCAAATTATTGTTGTCAGGGGCCATCCATAAATGAAGTCACGCAAATTGTGACGATTTTTTACCCCACTTCTCTATCGTCACAAAACGTCAGCCACCCCTCCCCCAAGTCTTATATGAAAGAAAAATAGGTATTTGACACTTAGATTAAAATTTAATATACGGTATCAATTATTCCCAAGGCTAAGCCTATAGTAACTATACTTATACAAGGATTGAATGAAGGTTTAAATTATTATTCTACTTGACTATAATAATAGTTGGGTCTACTCATTTTAAATTATAAACATTGTAATTTAGTTTAGTGTTAATGGCACTAGTAAAAATAATACCTAATTAAATAGACAATATGGTAATTATGATATTTGACCTACATTGTCCTTTATGTATACCTCTTAAAATAAACATATCGACATATTTTAATTTTTTTTTTTTTTATAGCGGTACACATTGTCATTAGTGTTATTTTAATTTTATTCTAAATTAAAGTAAAATAAGAGCCTTTTAACAAATTTTTCTTGAAATACTTGTCAACAATGTCTACCATGCCATTTATTTATGAGGTAGACCTATCCTTATCATTCATTCATTTCCTAATGAGTAAGAGCTTTTCTTGTTGGCTGGGAAGCATTTATTAAAAACACTGAACTATAAGATTATTATAAATTATTTTCAAGAATAACTGAGGCGGCGCACAATGAGCTTGCGGAGCACAACAGAACACAACATGCATTTTATTTCCTGTTGATAAACTACACTGATCTGTTGTGCCTTGGTCCATTTGGCCCAAATAAAAATGTGTAGACCTACATGAGTAAAATATAGGGGGGTAGTGGGGTCTAAGTATGACTTCGAAACGTTACAGATTCTTTGTCGTTAATACGTTTGATGCATCTAAATAAAAGTAACCCCAGGTAGAAAAGGCAATAAAAGAATAACACAGATTACATCACAAGGCTTATTATATGTTATTTAAGGACAAAAAAGAATAAGACTGCAGGTGAAAAGAACATATCAATCATTTCCTTTTTTCAACATTGTATCTCTATGCGAATGTGATTTACAACATGAATAGTGTTAAAATTTGATACAGTAACTAACTAGATTTTACAAAGGAGTGATGCCACATGAGTTTTCTGGCTCACGCAAAAAACCTGTTAAATATGCTTGTGGGGGAAAATACATGTTGCACCTCAAGTGATTCAAAAGTTGAGAGAAAGAAAGTAGAAAATTTACAACTGTCAATATTCATTCCGTCATTAGTACTCATAGAAATTACAATTTTTCTACACGGACCAAGCGTTGCATACTCAGCATACATGGAAAATGTCAAATAACTCTTTGGAATTGCATTTTCACGCAGCTTGATTTTATGGTTTTGCACACTTTTATAAAGCTGAATTTCTCCAAAATAAGTAAATTATTTTCTCTCTTCGGCAAAAACAGAATAATAAATAAAAATACATCAATCGCAGCGAAACGTTGCGTGACCAGGAGAAAATACAAAAGGACTTGTAAAATGATATGTCCACATTAGGCTAATAAAAAGTTTTCAGTCCAATCTGAATATATTTTTTTTTTATTTTTGACTTATGTTTTCATTGTTTTTGTCTTTTTTCTTCGTTATCTCAGTATTTATTTCGTTTTCAATATTTTTGGTCACCAATATCCCTATACGTTTTTATTTATTATGCAAACATCGCCAAATTTTTACAGTATGTTCAGTCTCAGTTACTAATAATTATAAACGTTTGAATAACCTACAATTAAAAAAACTCTCTTAAAAAAGAAAATATATTTTTTAAAAAAATAAAATAAAAAAATAATAATAATTCACCAAAACCCCTGCCCCTATTTTTTGCAAAAAATTAAAAAATAAATGTCGTCACAATTTGTGACCATGTTGATTTAGAATTAGAACTTGTTTTTACATCAAAAAGTCCATATACAAAGATTGTTATAGGTTAAATTATATATGTTTAAACTCTGATGGATATAACTTAATATTTAATTTGTAAAATCCTTGTTTTTTAAAAAAAAACACTAAAAAAAAAAAATTAAATGGGGGAGGTTTTTATGGGTTACAAAGGCAACCAATGGAATTTATTATTTTTTACAACCTGTTTTGTACCTCCAGTAAAATACTAAATAAGGTGTAGGTAAAAAAATGTCCCCATATGAAGCCAAAATTTGTGTTTATAATTTTCATCTACACCTCCCCTTAACCAGGGGTGAAAGCGTCCTTTGTCGTGACCGACGTTACAGGGATCACGTCCCCATGGTGCGAAAGACACAGAAAATAATAATTAGCCTTTTCTGCCATTGCTAGTTGTTCCTGCCTTTAAAAATAAAATTCAGTTTTTATGCATAATTTGGTGAATTTTCCTTGCACCTTACTTGTAATGTTACATTTTTTTAAATTGGTTCTAGAAAGTTTATTACACAAATAAAACTATAATAATATTTAATTATCATTATTTTAATTGTAAAAATTTTCTTACAATATAATTTATACAGGGAAAAGTGGGGAGGGTCGCGTTGCGCACACCATTTTAATGCGATGTCCTGTCCTGGAAACAGCTTTATCTTCCATTTACCTGACTAATTCTTCAAAATATGTTAAACAGACTAAAAATTAAATGCAAAGTAATAATGGCTTTAAAATATAAGGAACACCCTAAGTCACCGGGCGTTACTTAACAAGGTCCAATGTCCACCGGCGCTGCACTGTTGCAGTTGCAATCGAACATACCAAACCTTTCTTATTATGATTAGTCTGATTAGATTAGTTAACAGTTAAAAGTAACAATAGCCAGTTAATAAGGCGTTTTGGATTAAATTGTCGTCAATTGGACGTAAATGATCGTTAATAAATAAAATACGTTACCTCGAAAATGTCTATTGATATTGGTATACGATCAGTCATCGAGTTTTTGGTTACGCATCCGTATTTGCTGGTGGGAGCCTTTCTTACTTACGTATGCTTGTATTTTGTGTCAATTTACTTTTTTGGAAACAAAATAGGAAAGAACCCTTTTGCAAGAGATTATCGTATATCACCTGAACCATTCGTCCATGATGCTAAGACAAGAGATGCTGTTTTAAAGCAGAGTATGAAATTTGTGTCTTTTTTCGGCTTTGGCTTTAGTTTTAGTTTTAATTTTTTAATCACTCATTTAAATTTAATGAATTTTAATTAAAATGAATATAATAGTTTTAAGTAGTCACAGTCACAGTGCTACTTAATTATGATTTTATGATATAGGCTATATGTTAGGCTTAGGCCCATCATTAGGCATTAGGGGGCACCTGCCTAGGCCCAGTAGGCTGAGTAGGGGGCCTTAGTTTTGCTTCAAAAAAAGTTTTTTTTTGTACACTAATTTTTATGGACACCCTACTAAAGTTCTCATGAATTTTTACGGACAAGTCATTTTAGGTTAAATTTTTACAAAAGAGCTGGACATTTACAACTCATTTTGCAACTTCAAGTTTAACTAATGCTATTTATTTTGTTAAAAATTATATATGTTTTTTAGTGATAGTGGTGAACAGTGAACATCGTTGTGTTGTTTCAAAATTGTTTGCGCACAGGGCCATTATTATTGTTTCCCTAAACCAGGGCTTTGCTAACCATGGCACGCGGGCCTAATCACCACATTGAAATGTACGGCCAGGAGCTAAGAAATTCCTTAATTTTTATTTAAACTTCTAGCTACAACAGCTTATCATTATGTACATGCCTTAATACTATACAGTAAATAACTTTAGTAGATGTGCCAAGCCACCTTTTAATTACACATTTCTAATAATTTGTAAGGCCATGAGTAAGAGTAAATTATTGTTATTTTATTATAAACCTCAAAATACATGAAGAAACATGTGCCCCACTTTTCAAGGGAAAAACCAATTTACTCCTCAATACAGATGCCCTGGGAAATGTTGTTACACCACTTGGCCCACTTGAATATCCTTACTATTTCCAGAGAACAAAAGATTATTTCTTTATTTTAGGATTTAAGGCTAACCTGGTTCCTGAGAATCTTGATGTCATCATAGTTGGCAGTGGTGTAGGAGGTCTGACAGCTGGTGTCTTGTTGAGCCGTGCTGGCTTGAAGGTCCTAGTGCTAGAGCAACATGACCAGGCAGGAGGCTGTTGCCATACATTTGTGGAAAAGGGATTTGAGTTTGATACAGGTAAGTACGACTTAATTTCAACTGACTCATAATAAACTCTTAATTTAAGCAAGAATAAAAGTTATTTTCAGATTTCTAAATTAGTAAGTTTAAATAGAAACTTGAATAATCCTTGGGAAAAAAATAATTATTAAGGTTTGTGTGTATGGCTGTAACACTGTGTTCATGGTGGGCAATAAATAAAATAAAAAATCACAGTAGATTGCACTAATTGGGAGTCTTATAAAATGCACTATATTGTTTGAAAAGGTTTTTTTCGTAGACGAAAAGGTATAGTACTGTCAGGGCGGGGGAAGATGATGGGAGGGGATTGCTACGGGAACAGAAAATTTAGGACGCTGAAGCTTCACCAGCAATAAGAGGAGATGAGTCTGTGGAGCTGGAATCCCTCTGTGGTTCTGTGCCTCCTTGATTTATTTTAAATACAATTTCTGTTGGTTTAGTTCAACAAGAAAGTCATTTCAGTATATAAAATAACATTTTATTGAAATAAAACTTAATTCCCAAATATGGCTGCTGTATTAACAAATGTGATGTGTGCGAATAACTAGCAATGCTCCCCTGAAGTTTAGTGTGGTGGGTCAAGTGCTGGAAACAAACTGTGATGTGAAAATCTGACTGGTGTGACAGTTGGTTTGTGACATTTTAAGAGTAGCATTCTACTTCCACTTACGAGCTTATAAAAGCAATTAAAAATATCACCATGTTTTCCAGACAGTTAAATAATTGGTAAATCCTGAAATCAGTTTTTATAAAACCAAAAACCAGTTTTAAAAAAAATTCCGATTTTATCATCCTTAACCGTGACATGTATTTTTTAATTATTTTTTTTCTCAGGTATACACTATATTGGAAATATGCAGGATGGTAAAGTTGACCGTGTACTTTTAGATCAATTGACATGTGGCCAGCTGAGGTGGTCTGCAATGGATGATGCATTTGACATAGTTAGTATATTTAAATACCTGTATTGGTATTCAACTTAAAGTTGTTTTTTTTATTTTTAATAGCTTTTAACTGTAGATGTAGTTAAAACAAAATTTTCTGTCTCTTATCTCATTGCATTTCTCAATTTTTTACATATTTTCATCCTTTAAATTTTCCTGTAGTAAAATGGTAGATTTGTTTAATTTACATTCAGGATTAGTTAAGACATCTAAAGCTATTATTGCATAGACACTGATTTTTAATGCCATGCTAGATGGGCTCCTGTCCCTTTAATTTTTTTTTCACTCAAGGTTTCCCTAGTCCTCAAGGATAGCGGCCCTACTGGGAAAACAATCTTATTACCCCCATCTCTTCAGGCAATTTTACCATTTTGTCACAAGTTTAAATTAGTTTTGTGGTTCTTACAACTAGATTTTAACTAGTTTATAATCTAAAGGTGGCATTGGGTGACCCAGCTAAAGCCAAGCTGTTCAAGATGAAATCTGGTGAAGATCGCTATGTGCAGAATCTCATTGATATGTTTCCACAAGAGAAAGAGGCTATTATCAAATATATGGAACTAATTAAGGTGAGACGTTTAAGAAGTGAAACAACTAAATCTTAATATGCTTTTATTTGAATAGGTATTCACAGTCTTTTCTCAGGACTATTAAGAAGGGACGTGATTTAATAATTTCTCTTTTCATTTAAAAAAAATTAAAATAATAAAATCTCAAAATGCAGATCATCTTGTTCAGTTTTCCCCCCAAAAAATCATTTTAAAGAAAAGCTTGTTTAAAAGCTGTATCCATTTAATGAATGCTGTAGGAATACTTTGATTTCCATTTTGCTTTATTTTCCTCTAGGATGCTAGTAACTCATTCTTTGGGATTGTGATGCTCAAAGTATTACCTCGTATTCTGGTCCGCTTCCTGGTAGTAACTGGCCTCTATAGAATAGTCTTCAAATGTTACAGAAAACGCTACACTGAGAGGACACTTCAGTCTGTCCTAGACAGTCTGACAAAGAACAAGGAGCTTCAGATAGTGCTGTCTTACATCTGTGGGGATTATGGTATGATCAAGAACCCAAATGCAATCTCTTCGTTATTAAATACATATGTCTCTGTCCATAACTTTTTACAGCAATTAAAACAGTCATTTTGATTGTCTTTAAGATTACAATTTAATGAACCTCGTAAAATTTTTCAGCACTTAAGAAATAAAAGAGCTCTTAGAATAAATGTAAATTATATTTTGACACTACATCTCAATGACCCTTGAACTAATTTGTAGCTCTTCACTTTGTTTTTACTCAGATTTCTAATTCTAAATGTTATTTGTTATGTATTGAGTTTTTCTTTAAAATTCTCTATGCAGGAGTTTTTCCAAAAGATGCGCCTTTTATACTACACGCCATCCTGATAAAACACTATTTAAATGGAGCATTCTACCCAAAAGCTGGCACATCGGAGGTTGCATTTCACATGATACAGTCCATTCAGAAAGGTGGAGGAAAAGTACTGGTTCAGGCACCAGTGACAAATATTTTGTGTAATGGGAAGGGAAGAGCAGTTGGCAAGTATAACCTTCCCTTACTATAAGTTCTACTTTCTACTGTTGAGTTTGGTCTTCACGTTCTACTTTCTAGTGTTGAGTTTGATCTTCACGTTCTACTTTCTAGTGTTTAGTTTGATCTTCACGTTCTACTTTCTAGTGTTTAGTTTGATCTTCACGTTCTACTTTCTAGTGTTTAGTTTGATCTTCACGTTCTACTTTCTAGTGTTTAGTTTGATCTTCACGTTCTACTTTCTAGTGTTGAGTTTGATCTTCACGTTCTACTTTCTAGTGTTGAGTTTGATCTTCACGTTCTACTTTCTACTGTTTAGTTTTATCATCAAGTTCTACTTTCTAGTGTTTAGTTTGATCTTCAAAGGCTAATTTTGCTTCCTATCATGTTTGTATTCCAAAAAGTTGTATTTTCATCCACTCTTCATGGGTCATTAACAGTTCAACATGTGAACAATAACCTTACCCTCCGCCCCTTTTTAAGCAGCTTTCATGTACTCAATTTTTCCCCGTGTTTGGAGCCACTGAATTCCGGTGCATGAAAAATTTAATCAGGAAAACAGAAAAATATCTTTGTTATATTAAAATAGCCATGTTTTCTTTTTTATCAATTGAAAAAAAAATCTTAATAGAAATAAATTTAAAAAGTGTAACACATTCTATGAATTATTAATTAAATCAAATCCTTGGAGGAGTTATATACACAAGTCTCCACTTCCATTTCAATTTTATGTACACTTAACTTCCTATCAGTTTATTGAATAAATGATGAAGAAGCTTCGACAAGTTCTTTTTTTGTGTACCAATCAAAGAAGCTTGGTTTTTTTTTAAAAATAATAATAATTATAATCAAAATAAGAATTGATTGTGAGCAAATGAAAATAATGACTTCATTGGCAAAGCAGCTCCTTTGATGCCAATTATGAAAGACTATTTGTAGCCCACAGTAAGTGAAGAGTTAACATACTCTATCCTTTGAATTGTCATAAAGACTCTATCAGACCAGTTGTAACATATGCAAGTGAAACCTGGACCCTAACAAAAACAGCAGAAAACCTATTAAACACATGGGAGAGGCAAGTTCTCAGGAAAAATATATGGACCAACAAAGGATGAATATGGATGGAGAATACGAACCAACCATGAATCATAGTCTATATCAGAATCCCACGTAAGTAGCAGAAATAAAAAGAGGCAGGTACGCTGGGCAGGACACCTAGAGAGAATGCCAAATGACTAGCATCCTAGAGGAAATAAAAAGAGGCAGGTACGCTGGGCAGGACACCTAGAGAGAATGCCAAATGACAGAGGAACGGACAGGGTACATTACCAACACCCCAGAGGAAAAAGGCTCAAAGGCAGACCTAGGCTTAGGTGGATAGATGATGTGGAAAAAGATCTACAGCAGTTGAAAGACCAAGCATGGAAAAGAGAGGCATTAGTTAGGTCTGAGTGGAAGGAAGTGGTGAGGCAGGCCTAAGCTCTACATGGGCTGTTGCGCCACAGGAATGGAAAGACTCTATTCATTTATTTATAAATTAATTTCTGTAATGAAGGTTTTTTTACTCACCAGTGAAAAAAATATTTCAATATTTTATGAAAAGACAATTTGAACAAATAATGACATTGGCTTTTTGTTTTTTTAGGTGTAAGAGTTGGTAAAAGTGAAATTGAGATTCGAGCCAGGTACATCATTTCTGACGCAGGTGTAGTTAACACATTCAAGTCGCTTCTTCCTGAAAAAGTTGCAAAAGCTTCATGTAAGTTGGTTTTAAGGGTGATATGTAAGTTTGTTGTAAGGGTGACATGTAAGTTGGTTGTAGGGGTGACATGTAAGTTGGTTGTAGGGGTGATATGTAAGTTGGTTGGAGGTGTGACATGTAAGTTGGTTGGAGGTGTGACATGTAAGTTGGTTGTAAGGGTGACATGTAAGTTTGTTGTAGGGGTGAGGACATCAAATATCAAATTCTCCTACACATCAAGGTATGAACGTCAGTAAAATGTTATCTATACTTTGTATCAAAATTTGAAGGCACAATTATGTACATGATACAGCAGGGTTATTTTTCGCCATGGTAATCTTGACAGAATGTTTTTGGCCATTATTTCCCAGCTCTGAAATAATAACTTATTGACTGAATTGTATTTATAAGCTATTTTTTATTGTCCCTAAGATCTGTAAAAGTTTTTATTCCTGTTTAATCAGCCATTTATCCCTGTTTAACCGGCCATTTATCCCTGTTTAACCAGGCATCCATCCCTGTTTAACCAGCCTTCCATTCCTGTATAACCAGTCATCCATCCTTATTAAACCAGCAAACCATCCCTGTGAAATCAACCATCCATCCTTATGTAATCAACCATCCATCCCTGTGTAATCAACCATCCATCCCTTTTGAACTAGCAGAGAGTGTCCAGCTTCTCAACCAATACATGCAACATTTTTAAAAAATCGTAACTAACAAAAGAAAATAAATGCACAGTGTTTAAATTGACATTAAGGATACTAAATGAAAACAGGACTTCCAGTTGTCAAGTGTTGTAATATGGTAGCCTTGCTATTGCAGTGTTTGGGGTCAAGTGGTAGCCTTGCTACTGCAGTGGTTGGGATCAAGTGGTGGCCTTGTTATTGCAAGTTTTTATTTCGTGATCAATATTTACAAGTTTGTTGATCACAGTTTGCTTCCCCCCCCCCCCTCCCCCAAACTGCATTCACAAAAGCTGTAATGTAAGAAAAGGTAGCCTTGCTACTGCAGTGGTTGGGGTCAAGTGGTGGCCTTGTTATTGCAAGTTTTTATTTCGTGATCAATATTTACAAGTTTGTTGATCACAGTCTGCTTCCCCCCCCCCCCTCCCCCAAACTGCATTCACAAAAGCTGTAATGTAAGAAAATACATAAAGAGAAAAATGTGTTATTTCTACTATATGAAGTTGAACTTCCTTAAAAAATACATTCTAAGGCAAGCAAACAGAATCCCCCGTTCCCCCCAAAATAAACATATATTTATTTCTTATCAAATTAAAGTACCAGAAAGCCATTCCTATGCTTCCTGCAGGTCTCGAGCCATCATTTAATAAAGCAATTTTGAAAGCCAACTGATTTTAGCCACTGATATAGATACCTATTAATACTTTCCTTGAAGCAGGGAGATGTTGTTGTATGGTCTAATATATTTGTAGGAACGGTGATCTTAGTGTAAACCTTGTGATCCTCAGATATCAATTGTTTTCTTATTTCTGATACAACTTATTTTTTTATAATGGAAACCGAGGTGAAATATTGTATCATTAGGCATTTATCCCGTATACCATCAGACATGTATCCCTTGTATCATCAAGCATTTATCCCATGTATTATCAGACATTTATCCCTTGTGCCATCAGACATGTATCCCTTGTATCATTGGACATTTATTCCTTGTATTATCCCTTGTGTCATCAGACATTTATCCCTTGTATCATCAAGCATTCATCCCTTGTATCATCAAGCATTCATCCCTTATATCATCAGGCATTTATCCACTGATTGAAAAGGTTGGCCCCAGTTGTTCATTTATTACAACTTTTATCGGAGTTGAAGGGAACTCTAAGGAGCTCAATCTTCCTGCTGGAAATATTTGGTTGTACAACACGTATGTTACTTGATTTATCCTTTATATTTATAGAAATCAAATACTGATATTAAAATTTCATATATTTTTTTACGACAAATTTACTTCATTTTTGGGGTTTTTAAAAATTTAATGGCTTGTTCTGCTTCTGATTCAGGGATGACATCAATAAAACGATGACTGAATTTCTTGACATCAAAGCCGAGGACACTGAAGATTTGAAGATTCCATTTAGTTTCATTTCTTTTCCTTCAGCTAAAGATCCAGAATGGGAGGCCAAATTTCCAGGTTAGAATGGCATACACAAAAAATATGTTCAGGGTTTACTTGTTATAGAAAAAAGACTACTGAAACTAAAACAACATTTCAGGACAATGATAGGGGAGGTATGTTTATGAGCGGTTCCTTATAGAAAACAATCCTGAAAGTGAAGTCACCTTAAAGCCAAGTGCGAAATTGGGGCACAAGTTTTGTCCTCACAGCATTGTGACAGCAGCGATTGGCTGTGCTTACAGACTATCAAAATAATGAAATGTAAGATTTCCATATTTTATAACAGTGGTTTTCAAACTTTTTCATGCAAATGAATATATTCTCATTCCCAGCTGCCGCCATGCCCAACCCCCCGGGTCAACCCTTTTATAAGCTTATTAACATGGGAGTTTGTGGATAAAATGATGACATTCTTACCTTCTCCCTCCCCAATCATAGTTCGCATTCTTAACATATTCAAATAATTTCAAAATACAAAATGATATGTATCCAACCTTTTTACTCAAGCAAACATTAGTTTTGAATTGGCATAACTTGCAAATGCCAATATTTTACTTAATGTTAGTAAACTTTGACACCAAGAAAGGGACATTGATATTTTAATAATATTGAACTAATTTTCTGGAAACTGCAAAGTAATTAATAAATAATAAATTCTCAAATTTTAGCCATGGGATATGTGACTTGTTATAAAATAGGGTGAGCTTCTCTATGCTTTGTATTTGACTCTCAACAATGCACTATTTTAAAAAAGGAAATATCACATGATGCATGTGAACAATCTGGACATTCTTGGGCTCATTTGTAAACTCTTGTTACTACTAGAAGCATTATGTGTTGTACTAGTAGCTTCGTTACTACTAGAAGCATTATGTGTTGTACTAGCAGCTTTGTTACTACTAGAAGCATTATGTGTTGTGCTAGTAGCTTCGTTACTACTAGAAGCATTATGTGTTGTGCTAGTAGCTATGTTACTACTAGAAGCATTATGTGTTGTACTAGCAGCTTCGTTACTACTAGAAGCATTATGTGTTGTACTAGTAGCTTCGTTACTACTAGAAGCATTATGTGTTGTACTAGTAGCTATGTTGCTACTAGAAGCATTATGTGTTGTACTAGTAGCTATGTTACTACTAGAAGCATTATGTGTTGTACTAGTAGCTATGTTACTACTAGAAGCATTATGTGTTGTACTAGTAGCTTCATTACTACTAGAAGCATTATGTGTTGTACTGGCAGCTTGGTTACTACTAGAAGCATTATGTGTTGTACTAGTAGCTTTGTTACTACTAGAAGCATTATGTGTTGTACTAGCAGCTTCGTTACTACTAGAAGCATTATGTGTTGTACTAGTAGCTTCGTTACTACTAGAAGCATTATGTGTTGTACTAGCAGCTTCGTTACTACTAGAAGCATTATGTGTTGTACTAGCAGCTTCGTTACTACTAGAAGCATTATGTGTTGTACTAGCAGCTTCGTTACTACTAGAAGCATTATGTGTTGTACTAGTAGCTTCGTTACTACTAGAAGCATTATGTGTTGTACTAGCAGCTTCGTTACTACTAGAAGCATTATGTGTTGTACTAGCAGCTTCGTTACTACTAGAAGCATTATGTGTTGTACTAGTAGCTTCGTTACTACTAGAAGCATTATGTGTTGTACAAATAGCTATGTTACTACTAGAAGCATTATGTGTTGTACTAGTAGCTATGTTACTACTAGAAGCATTATGTGTTGTACTAGTAGCTTCATTACTACTAGAAGCATTATGTGTTGTACTAGCAGCTTCGTTACTACTAGAAGCATTATGTGTTGTACTAGCAGCTTCGTTACTACTAGAAGCATTATGTGTTGTACTAGCAGCTTCGTTACTACTAGAAGCATTATGTGTTGTACTAGTAGCTTCGTTACTACTAGAAGCATTATGTGTTGTACTAGTAGCTTCGTTACTACTAGAAGCATTATGTGTTGTACTAGTAGCTATGTTACTACTAGAAGCATTATGTGTTGTACTAGTAGCTATGTTACTACTAGAAGCATTATGTGTTGTACTAGTAGCTATGTTACTACTAGAAGCATTATGTGTTGTACTAGTAGCTTCATTACTACTAGAAGCATTATGTGTTGTACTAGCAGCCTCGTTACTACTAGAAGCATTATGTGTTGTACTAGCAGCTTCGTTACTACTAGAAGCATTATGTGTTGTACTAGTAGCTTCGTTACTACTAGAAGCATTATGTGTTGTTCCAGTAGCCTCGTTACTACTAGAAGCATTATGTGTTGTACTAGTAGCTTCGTTACTACTAGAAGCATTATGTGTTGTACTAGTAGCTTCGTTACTACTAGAAGCATTATGTGTTGTACTAGTAGCTTCGTTACTACTAGAAGCATTATGTGTTGTACTAGTACTACTAGAAGCATTATGTGTTGTACTAGCAGCTTCGTTACTACTAGAAGCATTATGTGTTGTACTAGTAGCTTCGTTACTACTAGAAGCATTATGTGTTGTACTAGTAGCTATGTTACTACTAGAAGCATTATGTGTTGTACTAGTAGCTTCATTACTACTAGAAGCATTATGTGTTGTACTAGTAGCTTCGTTACTACTAGAAGCATTATGTGTTGTACTAGTAGCTTTGTTACTACTAGAAGCATTATGTGTTGTACTAGTAGCTATGTTACTACTAGAAGCATTATGTGTTGTACTAGTAGCTATGTTACTACTAGAAGCATTATGTGTTGTACTAGTAGCTATGTTACTACTAGAAGCATTATGTGTTGTACTAGCAGCTTCGTTACTACTAGAAGCATTATGTGTTGTACTAGTAGCTATGTTACTACTAGAAGCATTATGTGTTGTACTAGTAGCTATGTTACTACTAGAAGCATTATGTGTTGTACTAGTAGCTTCATTACTACTAGAAGCATTATGTGTTGTACTAGCAGCTTCATTACTACTAGAAGCATTATGTGTTGTACTAGTAGCTTCGTTACTACTAGAAGCATTATGTGTTGTACTAGTAGCTATGTTACTACTTGAAGCATTATGTGTTGTACTAGTAGCTATGTTACTACTAGAAGCATTATGTGTTGTACTAGTAGCTATGTTACTACTAGAAGCTAATACACAACATGATCATCGATACAATGATGATCTTCGTAATAGTGTTGTACTAGTAGCTATGTTACTACTAGAAGCATTATGTGTTGTACTAGTAGCTATGTTACTACTAGAAGCATTATGTGTTTTACTAGTAGCTATGTTACTACTAGAAGCATTATGTGTTGTACTAGCAGCTTCATTACTACTAGAAGCATTATGTGTTGTACTAGTAGCTATGTTACTACTAGAAGCATTATGTGTTGTACTAGTAGCTATGTTACTACTAGAAGCATTATGTGTTGTACTAGTAGCTATGTTACTACTAGAAGCATTATGTGTTGTACTAGTAGCTATGTTACTACTAGAAGCATTATGTGTTGTACTAGTAGCTATGTTACTACTAGAAGCATTATGTGTTGTACTAGCAGCTTCATTACTACTAGAAGCATTATGTGTTGTGCTAGTAGCTTCGTTACTACTAGAAGCATTATGTGTTGTGCTAGTAGCTTCATTACTACTAGAAGCATTATGTGTTGTACTAGTACTACTAGAAGCATTATGTGTTGTACTAGTAGCTATGTTACTACTAGAAGCATTATGTGTTGTACTAGCAGCTTCATTACTACTAGAAGCATTATGTGTTGTGCTAGTAGCTTCGTTACTACTAGAAGCATTATGTGTTGTGCTAGTAGCTTCATTACTACTAGAAGCATTATGTGTTGTACTAGTACTACTAGAAGCATTATGTGTTGTACTAGTAGCTATGTTACTACTAGAAGCATTATGTGTTGTACTAGCAGCTTCATTACTACTAGAAGCATTATGTGTTGTGCTAGTAGCTTCGTTACTACTAGAAGCATTATGTGTTGTACTAGCAGCTTCGTTACTACTAGAAGCATTATGTGTTGTGCTAGTAGCTTCGTTACTATTAGAAGCATTATGTGTTGTGCTAGTAGCTTCGTTACTACTAGAAGCATTATGTGTTGTGCTAGTAGCTTCGTTACTACTAGAAGCATTATGTGTTGTACTAGCAGCTTCATTACTACTAGAAGCATTATGTGTTATACTAGTAGCTTCGTTACTACTAGAAGCATTATGTGTTGTACTAGTACTACTAGAAGCATTATGTGTTGTACTAGTAGCTTCGTTACTACTAGAAGCATTATGTGTTGTACTAGTAGCTTCATTACTACTAGAAGCATTATGTGTTGTACTAGTAGCTTCGTTACTACTAGAAGCATTATGTGTTGTACTAGTACTACTAGAAGCATTATGTGTTGTACTAGTAGCTTCATTACTACTAGAAGCATTATGTGTTGTACTAGTACTACTAGAAGCATTGCATTATATGTTTTACTAGTACTACTAGAAGCATTATGTGTTGTACTAGCAGCTTCGTTACTACTAGAAGCATAATGTGTTGTACTAGCAGCTTCGTTACTTCTAGAAGCATTATGTGTTGTACTAGTAGCTTCGTTACTATTAGAAGCATTATGTGTTGTACTAGCAGCTTCGTTACTACTAGAAGCATAATGTGTTGCACCAGCAGCTTCGTTACTTCTAGAAGCATTATGTGTTGTACTAGCAGCTTCGTTACTACTAGAAGCATTATGTGTTGTACTAGTAGCTTCGTTACTACTAGAAGCATTATGTGTTGTACTAGTACTACTAGAAGCATTATGTGTTGTACTAGTAGCTTCATTACTACTAGAAGCATTATAGTTGTACTAGTAGCTATGTTACTACTAGAAGCATTATGTGTTGTACTAGTAGCTATGTTACTACTAGAAGCATTATGTGTTGTACTAGTAGCTATGTTACTACTAGAAGCATTATGTGTTGTACTAGCAGCTTCGTTACTACTAGAAGCATTATGTGTTGTACTAGCAGCTTCATTACTACTAGAAGCATTATGTGTTGTGCTAGTAGCTTCGTTACTACTAGAAGCATTATGTGTTGTACTAGCAGCTTCGTTACTACTAGAAGCATTATGTGTTGTACTAGTAGCTATGTTACTACTAGAAGCATTATGTGTTGTACTAGTAGCTATGTTACTACTAGAAGCATTATGTGTTGTACTAGCAGCTTCGTTACTACTAGAAGCATTATGTGTTGTACTAGTAGCTATGTTACTACTAGAAGCATTATGTGTTGTACTAGTAGCTATGTTACTACTAGAAGCATTATGTGTTGTACTAGCAGCTTTGTTACTACTAGAAGCATTATGTGTTGTACTAGTAGCTATGTTACTACTAGAAGCATTATGTGTTGTACTAGTAGCTATGTTACTACTAGAAGCATTATGTGTTGTACTAGTAGCTATGTTACTACTAGAAGCATTATGTGTTGTACTAGTAGCTATGTTACTACTAGAAGCATTATGTGTTGTACTAGTAGCTATGTTACTACTAGAAGCATTATGTGTTGTACTAGTAGCTATGTTACTACTAGAAGCATTATGTGTTGTACTAGTAGCTATGTTACTACTAGAAGCATTATGTGTTGTACTAGTAGCTATGTTACTACTAGAAGCATTATGTGTTGTACTAGTAGCTATGTTACTACTAGAAGCATTATGTGTTGTACTAGTAGCTATGTTACTACTAGAAGCATTATGTGTTGTACTAGTAGCTATGTTACTACTAGAAGCATTATGTGTTGTACTAGTAGCTATGTTACTACTAGAAGCATTATGTGTTGTACTAGTAGCTATGTTACTACTAGAAGCATTATGTGTTGTACTAGTAGCTATGTTACTACTAGAAGCATTATGTGTTGTACTAGTAGCTATGTTACTACTAGAAGCATTATGTGTTGTACTAGTAGCTATGTTACTACTAGAAGCATTATGTGTTGTACTAGTAGCTATGTTACTACTAGAAGCATTATGTGTTGTACTAGTAGCTATGTTACTACTAGAAGCATTATGTGTTGTACTAGTAGCTATGTTACTACTAGAAGCATTATGTGTTGTACTAGTAGCTATGTTACTACTAGAAGCATTATGTGTTGTACTAGCAGCTTCGCCTGTTCACAGCCCCAAGCTTAATATCTATGTATTTTTTTAAGCGTTGCTGGTACATATATTTGAAACCATTTTCCTAACCAAAACTTTGGGGTTGGCATATGAACAAGGGGGCCTTAGATCGAGTGCATGGGGCAATATTTTCTTTGCTCAAAAGCTTTTTTTTTTTTTTTAAATTTGTCAAATAACATTTTTGGCTTGTCAAAGTTGCATTATTTTGTTGTTAAATTAGGTTCGTTTACTTACAGTTTTGTTGTTGTTGATGTTGTTATTAATCTACTATATTAAGAATAGTAATTCTTCTTATTGTTTACACTTGGTTGCACTTTTGGAATGAGCATTTTCATTGGCCAGAATCTTATTTTAAATTTCATAAGAAAGAAAACTTTCATAACAAAGCAGCTATCATAATAAAGAGAGCTATTATAAAGAAAACAAGGAAAACTATCAAAACCAAGAAAGCTATCATAAGAAATAATATCCCTTGTTGTATTTGTCCAAGTTCAACATGTAATGGATTACTGCAATGGAGTAGATCATGATCTACAAAGATGGAACATTTGATATTGTCGAATTTGCATTATTTTTTTTGTTATTGTTAAATAACTTTTTTGTTAACTAGTAAAAGCACCTCAGTATCTTGCTCACGCTGATGAAATGGCGACATTATAAAAGCTTTGATTGAATTAGAAGATGCATCACTACGAGCAGGGTTGGAAGTTGACAACCAAAGAAACAAAATCCATGACTATGCTAGGAGAAGAACAGAGACATGAAACTATTAAAATTATAAACCACCCCTTTGAAAGATTAAATCAATTCAAATAGTTGGGATCCTTAATAAACGAAATAAATGAATTACTCATAGAAATAAAAGAAAGCATATTGTCAGTAAAAAGTACATACTTCAGTCGTTCCAAAATACTCAAAAGTAAAAATATTACAAGAAAATTAGAGAAAAATATATATAAAAATGTAATCAGACCAGTAGTAAATACGCAATTGAAACTTGGACCCTAACAAAACTGGCAGGAATCTATTAAACACATGGAAGTCAAATATGGATGGAGAATACGAACCAAGCAGGAGTTGTATGTAGTTGTCAGCATTTGACCCCCCCCCCCTCCTTTGTGGACATCCTTTAACTAACTGCCCCATGATGTCATAATTGTGGGGGGGGGGGGTGTCCCAAACCCATTTTGTATGTGTGTAAGTGGGGGAGTGGGTGATTTGAATTCTGTGCACAGGTTATGCATGGATGGCCCCAAACACAACAGAACCCTAACACTCTTTGAACACATTACTGTGAATTGATTTTTTTTAACATTCCAAAAGGAAAGACTTCTGTATTAGCTATAACACTGGCAAAGTGGGAGTGGTTTGAAGAATGGAAGGATGAAAAACTTCGCCACAGGGGTGATAGGTATGAGGGCATCAAAGACGCCATTGGTCGTCAAATGTGGCAGCAGTGTGTCAATTTGTTTCCACAGTTGGATGGAAAGGTAAACAAAAAAAATTATATTTATTAAATTTTAAATAATCAATTTAATTTTCATAAAAATTATTTGTTTATTTAATAATTTCTATGATTTGAAAATTAAATATTAAAATATGGTGAAAAGTTTTATATTATATATAAATAATGTCCTTATTTCTCCAGAAAGTGTATATGGAAGTAGGGACACCTGTGAGCAATCAGTACTACCTTGCAGCACCAAAAGGGGAAATGTACGGACTTGACCAAAAAGTTGCCAGATTCACTGCAGATGTGGCCAGCAAACTCAGGCCAGATACTGACATTCCAGGTCTTTATTTGACAGGTCAGAAGAACTCAATTCGACAGCTCAGTTTCAATTTCATTTTTCATACAAAATATGTGAATCAATACATACCATTATGGGGGTTAGGGGAGTAATTTAGGATTTTACCCCATGCATTTTTGCTGACCACGGTCCCGCGCAAATGTACAAATTATAGCTATGTTATGGTTAGCAACAATACTAAAAAAACATTAATAAATCTTTTGTGCTAAAAGCCTTCTTTCTTTAAAATAGTATACCTTGCATGATATCTTTTTATGTACCCCAAAAAGTACTAATCACTTGAGAGCATTTATATGTATGTATTATACTAATAATACAATATTTGCTAAATGATGCAATAAATTATTAACATATTTGTACCTTACATTAAAATATTAAAATATTTTTATTAAAATACACTAAAGAGAAAGGAAATACAAATGTGATCTAGAACATTGTGAGACCCTTGTGACTAACAATAAAACCATGGGGTGCCCATAACAATTGGGTGCTGGGTTGCCGAGCGGTCTAAACTGTCTCAAACCAAATAGCTGGTAATCTTGAGTTCAATCCCCATCAAAGCCAACATCTCAAGCACCCCGGGTGGATGGGACTCGTTAGCCTTGGACGGCAACCAATCTAGGAGAAGGCAAACTCTGAATTTAAACCAGGAGCCAGAATGATCAACAAATTGATCGTGGGCCCCTTAAAAGAAGAGAAAGAAAGATTACCATAAGGATCCCTAGTTTGTGATCTCAGTTTCTTTAAAAAAACTACCTCACTGATTAGGCCTTAAATTTCCCCACAACAGGCATCTATTATAATAATAGTATATTGATACTATAATATTTTTAATAAGTTGGTAATACAGTGAAACCTGGAAACAATGTAAACCCTTGGAGCAGGGCCAGACTTAGACTTGCTAAGGCCCTAAGCTATATCAAGTTCAGAGGCACCCTTACTTTTTTAAATCACATCAGCTGGTCAAATAAAAATTTTAATTGAATTTAACATCAAAGTCTATCTACTATACGTACAACCTAAATGTCTATTTTCAAAAAATGTTTTAACAAGCATTTCCTTAGGCGTGCACTTAAAAATATAGCGGCATTTTTTTTGGTATAACTGATATATCTTTGAAAGCGCTCCAAAATGCTTTTTTTAATGCATCTTTGAAAGTGCACCATTCTGCAAAAATAATCTACATCCTTGATACAAAATGCAGCCCATTCTGAAACAGCCTGCTAAATCAGACTCCATGTTGGATCAGCAGCACCAAGTGATTTTCTAATAGTGTTGTTGATACCCTCTAAATATGATTATTGTTTTAACCATCAGTACAGCTTTTGAGGTCAGGGATTTTGACCAAACTTAACCAGATTATCCTTGGGTCAGAAAATACTTCAAATATGTCAAAATTTGGTTTCGATCCATTTAAATTATTTAAAGAATTTATATGCCAAAATCTAATGGCATTGCCAGACAACCAAACATTTATTTAAGTTCTATCTATAACAGTCTATACAAGTACACATTTTTATTTACATCTTATAAATGGTTCTTTTTTACCTTTTAGTGCTTTTGATAAAAATTGTAAAATTATACGTAACATACATTGGATTTTTAAAGTATTTTTACTCAACATTCTTTGACCAGGCCAAGACACCATGACATGTGGATTTGTTTCGGCTCTGATGATGGGACTGATCTGTGCGTCCCAGGTGCTCAACAGAAACCTGTACACTGACCTTATGAAAATAAGGAAAGACACTAAAAAGATTGACTCTCGAACAAAAAGTGATGACTCGAAGAAAGAGGAATAATCACCGTTTGACAATGACTGTGGGACAATTGAATAATGGCCATTTGACGTTGGCCATGGAAGAACTGAATAATTGCCATTTGACGATGACTGTGGGACAATTGAATAATGGCCATTTGACGTTGGCCGTGGGAGAACTGAATAATGGCCATTTGACGATGCTGTGGGAGAATTGAATAATGGCCATTTGATGATGGCTGTGGGACAATGGAATAATGGCCATTTGACGATTACTGGGAGAATTGAATAATGGCCATTTGACGATGGCTGTGGGACAATTCAATAATGGCTATTTGACAATGACTGTGGGAGAATTTGAAACCCCCTGACACTATATTGAAAAAATCTACTTTTTTTTATACATTGTGCTTCTATATACTCCTTATTAATATTATTAATGTCTATTTTATGCTTTTTAAGAGGTATGAACCCTCAGAGGACCCCAACTTTCTTTTCAATAATGTTTAAAATTAATTTTAATTTAAGTTTAACAGGTCCTTGTGACTTTGTCATGAGAAGTATCCTAATGGTAGACATAAACTTTGTCATGAGAAGTATCCTAATGGTAGACATAAACTTTGTCATGAGAAGTATCCTAATGGTAGACATAAACTTTGTCATGAGAAGTATCCTATTGGTAGACATAAACTTTGTCATGAGAAGTATCCTATTGGTAGACATAAACTTTGTCATGAGAAGTATCCTATTGGTAGACATAAACTTTGTCATGAGAAGTATCCTATTGGTAGAAATAGTTTTCTTGATTTGATGATAAGAATTGTAAGTTATTCGACCCCAGGAAGCTGTGCCATGATTTTTATTTGTCAATATTTAGTTTTCTTATTTTTTAATTTTTTTTTGGTTACAATATTATATCATCTTTTGCAGGCACACAATTGATGCAGTTAAAATTTAAAAAAAAATAAAGTAATTTAATTTTGAAAAATTAAATTTGATTATATAAATATATTTATTTTCAAAGAAAATAATTCTGTCACCACCTTAGTTTTTCTTTATTTGTGTTGTGTTTTGATGAATGAAATATCAATTCTATTAAAACTAAAAAATGGACACAGAGATAGGCCGAAAGGCAAACGCACTAACTAACCTATAGAACTAACCTACCTATGGCACTGCTGCAGTCTGAATAAAGAGACATATTGCCTTTGTTCATCTCTTTCACCTAGAAACAGTATCAGGACAAGTACAAACAGATGTCGCGATAAACGCGATCACCTTCTTTTTTTAATAACTGAATGGCGTGTCGGTCACTTCGGTTTTCTCTTTATTGTTAGTAAGCTGAATGCGTCTTGCCATTCATATGTGTATTTAATAAAAGCGTTTGTCTACACAAAGGTGTAGCAATCAAATTATGTGGAGACCCTAACAAAGGTGTAGCAATCAAGTTATGTGGCGACCCTAACAAAATAAAACACATAAATTGTGATATTTTTTTTTCAATTCATATGATCAGATAAAGATATGATGAGTTTGGTTAATATATCCAATTAAATATTAATGAATCTATTGAAATATATTTTCTACAGTAACAGATAGTGTCCAGCTGAAATTTAATAAATTTATTTAGGCCTAGACCTGGCCTCAGTGCTAGACCCGGCCTCAGTGCTAGACCTGGCCTCAGTGCTAGACCTGGCCTCAGTGCTAGACTTGGCCTCAGTGCTAGACCTCGCCCTGGATAAATCTTGTGAAAGAAACGTCTCCCTGCCAGCAGTTGGTAAGACCAAAAACGACCTCATCTTGGACAAGGTAATAGCTGAAATGGAAACCCCCCCCCCTCCCCCCTTCCATGACCAATCAGTAAGTTGAAGCCCCAACATCAAATAAATTGATTTTCCCCACCCCACGCCCCAAAATCACCAGAGAAGGGTTAATTCCCCTCTAATTAGAAGTTTAAAAAAAATGAGGACTCCATGTTGCCGTTTTTAATTCTAGGCCTGAAGATTTACAATTAAAATAAATTCTGGGATTAAAAGAAAATGATTGAAACAATTTAATAAGAGAAATATATTTCAAAAACATTTTTTGTAAAAATGTAATAGCATCATTATCCAATGTCTGAAGCTTGTCTGGTTGGAGTAGGCCTACATTATCCATGGAAAGAACTAAGGCTTATCAAAAACCATTTACGATCCACAATGGGGCAGTAAGGGCTTTTTGATCAGGCTCTACTGTCAATTGAAAGTGATACGGGGAAGGATGTTGATTTTGATCACGTGGTTGACAGGTTTGCGGCTTGGAAGACAAGAAAAGGACAATTTTAAATAACGTAAATTTAATGTAAACCAAGTTTACTGTAAATTACTGTAACAGTTATTTGTGGGGTTTACCTGTAAACCAATTTCAGAGACTCTAGAAGGTACACGAAATTCTGCAGCATGCATTGTACTGCTTATAAAGAAATCTGACTACATCAACTCAGCTCTTAAAGATCTCCACTGGTTTCCTGTGAGTGAGCGCATTGGCCACCAAATGTGTCCCTGGCGTACAATTGTATAGATGGCTCTGCACCTGTTCATCTTCAATAACTGATTTTTAAACATTTACCCATACAGAACCTGTGCTATTTTAAGTCAGCCCTTACTGAGTGTTTCCAGTGTGGATGAACTACAAAATTCATATGGAGTGCGCTTTTTTGAAGCTATTGCGCCTAAATGGTGGAACAGTTTGCCACAATCTTGGAGGGAAATTGAAAATGATAAAAAGTCATTTAAGAATCCTTTAAGGACTTTTTCTTTAAACAGAATTTTATGACATCAGAGCACTGTGAGCACGCTAAAATAGCATGGACACAAGCGCTATAAAAGTACTCAATCATTATCCTCACTTAATACCTAACTTGTCCTCTGATAGATGCACTGTCCCCCAGAAATGTCCGTTCCCTAAATATATTTTTCTGAACATATTATTTCGTAGCTCATAGAGGCCGTCGTGTTGCACATGTCTGACTTAAAGCTATGGGCTCACCAGATGACAGATACTGTGTTAAGGAAACACTGCTGTACTGCAGACGCTGAGCGGATTATAACTCATTAAAAACACCGTACGCTCTACGAAGTTATCAATGACACTTCTTTGCTTCGTCAAAGCTATCACTTGAACATTCCAAACAAATGATTTAAACATTCCAAACATATCTTTTGAACATTCCAAACATATCATTTCAATATTTCAAAGATATCATTGAACTTTCCAAACATATCATTTCAAAGATATCACTTGAACATTCCGAACAAATCACTTGAACATTCCAAACATATCTTTTGAACATTCCAAAAATATCATTTGAACTTTCCAAACATATCACTTCAAAATTTCAAAGATATCACTTGAACATTCCAAACATATCATTTGAACATTCTCAGGACCCATCAAATGATCTTGTTTAACTAGACACAATATTACAAAGAGAAAGGTGCGCAAAGGACATGCGCAATGAACGGAAACTTTCTGGTTCTGGGAGCGTTCGTTGCTGCATCCATATACTGGCATTTGTACAACGGTTGGGGAGCGATGTTGCTATTCTAACAGCTCCTAGCAGATGCAGGGCAGCCTTGAAGCTTTCGACTGACGTCGAGTCCACAGCGGCCTTGTTTAGCTGGTTCGAAGCAATTTTTGTACGTGGGAAGAATGATTGTTTATACTGCACTATGTTACACCGAGGCACGATGAAGCATTTGCTATTGTTTTGGGTGTAATTGTTAATGGGGTTGTCAGTGGTGAAATCAGTGTTCAGTGAGTGTTTGGCTCTGATCAATCGACCCGGCTTCTGTGGTGTGAAGTGTATGCCTGACGGGATGGCCAGCACCAGCCCCATGACCACTTTATATAAGAATATCAGGCGGAGTCACTCTCGTTTGTCTTTAAGGGAGGGGATGTCAAATCTTTTTAAGTGGCCAGTGACGAAGCCAGAAGTGGTGGATTTGTAGTCACGGGCGATGAAGAGCACCGCGTTACGTTGGATTCGCTCCATCTTGTCCACGTCTTGCTTTAGGTGTTGGTCCCAGATGATCGCACCATATTCTAGAAGTGGACAAGTGCGAGATAGGCATTTCATTTGCAAGAAGTTGGGAAGTGGCACAGATTTCTTCGAATAAAAACAAGTGTGGAGTTGGCTTTTTGAATTTTTTTTTGAGAAGAGAATTTCAAGGTATGGATTATTTGACACTTGTTGGAGAATTGCCTCGTTTAGTGAGTACACATAGGTTGATGGTTTCTTCTTGAGATGCTCATTCTGTAGCATTCGGTTTCATTAAATTTCATGGCCCATTTGTCCGCCCAATTCATAAGGGCTAGGAGGTGTTTGTGGTCATCGTAGCCATTTATGTCTTTGTAGACAAGGCGGTCATCTGCAAACAGCCGCACTTGAGATTTTACTGTATCAGGGAGGTCGTTTATGTGACAGAGAAAGAGAATGGGGCCCAGCACTGTGACTTGTGGAACTCCTGAGTCTACGGTGGCTTTCCCTGATGGGACGCTATCTACCACTACTTGCATGGTACGTTGTGTTAGGAATGTTGAGAGCCAGGAGTGAAGGTTGCCGGTAATGCCGTAGTGGTTGAGCTTATGTAGAAGAAGGCTGTGTTGAACAATGTCGAAAGCTTTGGAGGAGTCGAGAATAGCCATGTCGACCTGGGTACCTTTGTCATAGGAGGCAAGGAGGTCGTTGGTGGTGATGATTATTTTAGTTTCTGTTGAGAATCCAGAGCGGAAACCGTGGTTTAGGTTGGTCAAAATGTTGTAGTGTTCAAGGTGGTTCATGATGTGGCGACAGATGATGTAGTGTTCAAGGTGGTTCATGATGTGGCGACAGATGATGTGTTCTAGAATTTTGCATTAGAAAGTATAACTATGTTTTGTTCGTTAAAAATGATAACGTAATGCATTATTAAGTTGTTTTTTTTCCAAAATGATTAATTTATGTATTATTATGTTTTATATAATTTGTAGATGATATTCCACGATTTTTTATTACGTGTGTACTAAAGGTGCTCGATAAAATAAAGGTGTTCGATACACGAAAGGTGTTCGAAGATCAATCCCTTATTATTTATTGAATATTTTAAGATTAGAAAGTTTGTTTTGATTTTTCTAAAAAAAGATTATTAAAAGTTATTAAAGTTTGCAAATTTTGTCATTTATTTATTCCAGTGTGTGAGTGGGTGGAGGGGGGGGGATAGACACAAGACACATAAAATTGTCTTACTCCGGACCCGTTTAAATAAGTTAGGATTTAGTATTTTGAGAACGACAAAAAGAGATAGTGAGCTGTCAGAAGACATCTAGTTATTATGAAAGTCTTCTGGGGCGATTAGCTAATTCTCTAGCTTCCGGGTGTAGATGGCTGAAGTGACAACAACTTGAAGTAGGTGCTAATCTCTTAAGTATCTTCGAGTGAACCATCGAGATGGAATTTTTCCTTCTTATTTTTGTCTCTTTTAGTTATAATGTAATGTTATAATGTTAAAATGTTATGTTATAATGTAATTGTAGGGATGTGGTGGTGGTAGGAGAGTGGATAGATTTAAAATATACACTCAATAAATTCTGGTCTTTAGGACTATAGCTTTATTTGGTTCTATAAACAATGCGAAATTAAAATCTAAAGAGAAAGTCTTTTTAAAAACGTAAAATACATGAAAAGACATAAAAAGTATAGGTTAACAATATCCTGACTCACAAAACTAACAATAAACATTTTAAATAACTAATTAATGAAATAATATGACACTTTATATACACCTTATGACGCAAATGTCAAATGTTATACAAATGGCAATTAAAATGATATTATCGTAAAAATGTCAAGCTATAAACTAAATCACGTGGCGAGGTCTACTCGTAACACATGCATCGTCTTACATACAGAACTAGTGTGAGAGGTGAGGGCTAACATACAGGTCTGAGATGTGAAGGGTAACATACAGGTGTGAGATGTGAGGCCTAAAAAAAAGGTGTGAGATGTGAGGGGTA